TACCTTCATAGGATACCTTCATGATACCTTCATAGGATACCTTCATGGGATACCTTCATGGAATACTTTCATAGGATACCTTCATAGGACACCTTCATGGGATACTTTCATGGGATACCTTCATAGGATGCCTTCATGATGCCTTCATGATACCTTCATGGGATACCTTCATAGGATATCTTCATGATACCTTCATAGGACACCTTCATATGAAAAGAGCAAGGAGTGAACAATAAGTTATGAGGAAGTTTCACCCACACCCAGTAGAAACATTTCTTCTGTGTGTTTCAGAATTGCTGAGTCCAGGCCCTTGCGCCTATGCCCACCTACCTGAGATGGACAGAAATGCCCCCTTTCACATCATTTAGGTTTAGATGGTCTGGTAAGGAAGCCACCTGAGGGGGGATTGTGTGAGGTGAAGCCAGGCTGGTGCAGAAGGTCCCGAGGTGGGGCGGGAAGGGCAATGGTGGGTCCCTGGGGAAGAAGACTCTTAGCAGAGAGTGTGCCATCAGACTGGCCTGTGGGGGATTTTCTTGTTTGTATGTTTTGTTTGGAGACATGGTTTCTCTGTGTAGCCCTGGCTCTCTTGGAACTAGCTCTGTAGACCAGGCTGGCCTCGAACTCACAGAGATCCTCCTGCCTCTGCCTCCTGAATGCTGGGATTAAAGGCATGCAGTGGCAACAGGGAATTTTCTTGATTGACAGTGATGTGGGAGGGATCAGTCATTGCCACCTGTGGGTTGGTGGCTGGGTCTGTGTGACCAGCCTGGAGGAGCAGGTCAGCCCCCAGCTATGGCCTTTCTTCCCCATGGCTCTGGCTTGGGTGTTCCTCACAGCAACAGGAACCTATTGGGACATTAGACATCAACCCTGTCCGCACCAGTGCCGGCCTGCATCAGCTGCTTCTAATGTCTTTCCTCCTCCACTTCCTCCAGCTCCTAGGCCTCCTGCAGAACACACTGGAGATTCTCCTGTTCAAGTCATTCCAGTTGCCCCTTTGGGGACTTTCCTCCCATCTCTCCTCCAAACACCCAGAATTAGGAGCGCCTCTGACCAGGTCGTGCTTCAGCAGGACCCGGGCCAGCACAGAGTGTCGTAAATTGATGACACACTGAGCTCTGGGAGCTCTGCCGGGTCTGAGGAGTCCTGGAAAGTTTCCGGGCGTGGCACAGGGCACCTGGGCCTCTGCATTAGTCCTGGTTCTCTAGAGTAACAGACCTTACAGAATGATTCTCTCTCTATGTATAGGGAAAAGAGTCTGTTGGAATGATTTACAGGTTGCAGTCCAGGTAATCCAACAATGGATGGCTGTGAACGGAAATAATCCAGTAGTTGTTCAGTCTACAAGACTGGATATCGCAGCTGGGTGTCTGTATGTGCCGGAGTTTTGAAGAAGTGGGTTCCAATGCTGGTAAAGGAAGCAGACAGAGATCAAAAGTTCCTTTCTTCTATGTCCTGTTAGACTTCCAGTAGAAGTGGTGGCCCAGATTAAAGGTATGTCTTCCCACCTCAATATCCGAATAAAAGCCTCTGCCATCTCTAAGGTTCGACTGAGAAGCAGATCCTCCAGGCGGGTGTGGTGGAGCACACCTTTTATTCCAGCACTCCAGAGGCAGAGGCAGGAGGACCTCTAATCTAATCTAGGACAACCTAGACTACACAGAGAAACCTGTCTTGAAGGACAAAACAAAACAAACAAACAAAAAAAAAAAAAAGAAAGAAGAAAAAGAAATGGGTCTTCCCACTTAGAATTAAGCACCAATTCCTCACAGGTTTGCCCCCCATTTGAGTTTTAACTAATTCTGATGCAGTCAAGTTGACAACCATGAGCAACCACGACAGCCTTGGACAGTTCTTTGGGCTTATTCTGTTTTTAATTTTTTGTATGTCTATTTGGTGAGCATTGAACCCAGGTGGGAAGGACGGAAGGAAAGAAAAAGGAACACATGGAGAGGCAGGGGAGCCATACAAGCTGCAAGTCCCTGAGGCAGGATCCAGGAATTAGGGAGCTGTGGGCGGCAGGGGGCAGGGGAGGTCAGCAGATGGCAGGGGAGGGAAGGAGGGCAGGGGAGGGGCGCAGGTGAGCTGGAGCCCTGGGGCCCGGATGGGTGCAGAGTCACTTGGGAATCCCAGACGGAGAATCACCTCTGTCAGTCATGCGCTGAGCCCCATGGGGCTCCCAACATTTACTGAGCAGCACCTGCACACTGACCGGTGGGTTTAGTTCGTGTCCGTGCCCCACCTGCTTTGGGGATCCTCGCGCCACCTTTGACTTTGAGAGTCCTGGGGAGTGTGGGGGCTGCAGGGGCAGAGTCTCCAGGCTCATGTTCTGTCCCCACAAGGGGAGGTGGAGGGGGGGACTCAGCGCCCTGGGGCCACATACTCCTGGTTGTATGCTGGTGTCCTTCTCAGGGACTCCAGGTTGCAGTAGACAGGCTGAGGGTCCAGGTCGGCACCCTTGTAATTCATGTAGAAGTCGGTGTCCTCGGAAGGGCTCCTGCGGGGGCAGATGGGAGTCAGAGGACTGCAGCACGTTTTGTGCTCTCTCTCTCTCTCTCTCTCTCTCTCTCTCTCTCTCTCACACACACACACACACACACACACACACTCAGGCTTAGAGCTCTTAAGTGAGAAGGGACCTGTGGTCCTCGTTTCTTCTGTTGTCGTTGGTGACTAACTTATCTGACATTACGGGAAACCCACTGTGGCCGGAAAGGTGGACCAGGTGTCCAAGCATCCTGGGTGGTTTGGATAAGATCATCCCTCTTGGGTAGAGATTTGAACACTCAGCCCCCAGTGGGTGAGCAAATCACTCCCAAGCCGCAGAAAGCCTCTATTTCTGCACCATCAAAACACAAGGGTGGAAAAGACGCGCGGGATTTGATTTTTATATCTGCTTGTGTAGTGTGTGCTAGCATTTGGTGCATGTACGTGTGTGCATGGTGCGTGTAGGTGTACGTGTGCGTACTATGTGTGCATGTGTGTGCATGCTGCCTGTGGGTATACACATGTTTTTGAGTGGTACATGTATATGTGTGTGCAGTGTGCATATATGTGTGTGCATGTGTGTGCGTGAGTGGTGCGCCTGTGTGCGTTCATGATGTGTGTTCATGTATGTGCGTGTGTGGATGCATGTGCCCTCTCATATTTCCAGCTCCAGAAACCACCTTCATGTGCTTTGTGGTTGTGGGTTTTTGTTTTTTGAATTTTTGTTTTTGAGACAAGGTCTCATGTAGCCCAGGTTAACCTTGAACTCGGATTTCCTGCCTCTGCCTCCTAAAACTGGTCTGTGTGGTGCAGGTATGGCGCCCAGGGCCGTGTATGCCTGGGCTCTGTCTGGGCTCAGCCCCACAGACTGCTCTTTCTGACAGTATTTCCTTATTATCAATTGCCTGTGGGGGAGAAGAGTCTGTGAGAACTCTGGGAACCCCATGTGTGTGTGACAGGAACTGAACCTGGCCCAGGGTGGGGCCATCTTCACCCGCTGGGGTGGTGACCAGTGATAGAGTGACTCATCTTAGGTCAGTGACCTCCCCCATCCTTCAACTTTCTCAACATTTGCATACCTTCTCAGCAACTGAGTTACCCAAATCCCCAGCCTCAGCTCCCAGCAGGGCCTCTCTCTTCCTTCCCTGTTCTTGGCTGGTCAGATGACCCACAAACTTCCCCCACTTTCTCTCTCTCTCTCTCTCTCTCTCTCTCTCTCTCTCTCTCTCCCTCCCTCCCTTCCTTCCTTTCTTCCTTTCTTTCTGTGTTTCGCTTGTTGAGACGGAGTCTCATGTGGTCTAGGCTACTGGCCTCAAACTCGGATCCTCCTGCCTCCACCCTCACAGTGCTGGAAACACAGGCACACCACCAACACCCTTGCTCCTTCATTCAGTCTTAACCGGCTGAGCATCCCAGGTATCATAGGGAGATGCGGGAGATGCCCCCATAACACGGGGACACAGACAGCACTCAGTCACAAGTCTGGGCTGTTTATAGCCCATTATCCCCTTTCTCCTCCAGAGCTATGAGCTGGGTTTGCAGGTTACAGGGAGGAGCCCTGCAGGAACCTCACCCCAAACCTGGAGGTGAGGGAGGCCCACAGTCCTCACATAAACAGAGATGTGAAGCTACAGCCTGCACGAGGCACTTGAAATTCTCAGGCTGACTTCAAACTCGTGGTAATCCTCCTGCCTCTGACTCCTTAGGACTGCGATGACAGGTAAACACCTCCATGTTAAGCTGAAGCCAAGGAGTTGCTTACTATAGACGGTATCTGGGGTCACTCACCTGGGTGCAGACCCTGGGGCGTCCTCAGCCAGTTCGCCTATGAAGACATTCTCATAGTCCAGTGAGGACCCGCCTGGTGGCGTGTCCGGGGTCTTGGGACCCGGTCGCTGGCTGCTGTACCTTGGTAAGAAGCCTGTCACAGGTCTAGGGGTATCGTGTGGACTTTGGGCTTTGTTGAGACCCTGGCCACTGGCTCCTCGGTGTTGTCGAAGTCTCCAGGCCAACACAGATCCACTGACAGCCAGAGCCAGGAAGATAGTCCCTGCCACAAGGGCACCGATGGTCCCCAGGGCCAAGCTGGGGGGACAGCTGACCCGGAGGAAGGTGGAGAGGTTCCCTGGTGCTCCCGTGTCCGGGTGTAGACACAGCAGCCCTTGCTCTCGCGAGCAGTTGCTCTGGCGAATGCGGTGCCAGGAGCCCAGTGCGCAGCTGCAGTCGGCCCTCAGCTCCAGCTCACAGCGCAGGGCCAGCGTCTGCTCCACACTGACCAGCCGGTTGTGGGTGACAATCAAGGTCTGCAGCTTCTCCAGCTTGGCAAAGAAGACCCTGGGGAGAGCCTGCAGCCCATTCCTAGACAGGTCCAGAATTTGCAAGTGACTGGCCTGCAGGGGCTGGGTCCTGGGCAGGGATAGGCCAAGGCCACTGAAATTGAGGCAGGTGTCGTTGAATGTCTGGGTCCAGTCCACAGTGCCTGGGGACACCATGCAAGTGAGATCGTGACTTCCCGACTGGAGCATCAGGGGCAGCAGCAGCAGCAGCAGCAGCAGGACACATGACCTCAGCAACCTGGCCCCGGTGGCCCCCATTCTAGCAACCTGTGTGGGGACACAAGTGATCTCCTGCTCTCTCTCTACTGGGATTAAATGTTTGGTCTTAAAAAAAATTTAATAGTTCAAATCAGGCTAGAGGTGACGGCACACTCCTTTAATCCCAGCACTCGGGAGGCAGAGGCAGGTGGATCTCTGTGAGTTTGTGGTCAGCCTGGTCTACATAGTGAGGCCCTGTCTCAAACCCAAATAAAACAGCTGCAGCCAGCTCAGACTCTTCTGACATGGAAGCACGCCGCCCTTGGCTGGCCACCTGTCTCTTCACCTCCCTGGTCCTCAAGCCTCCATCTTCTTATTTGTGAAATGGTGCATGTGGCAGCTGCTAGACCACTCCCCCCCCACACCTGCCCAACTTCAAGATCATCTGCTGCACTCTTGTTGGCCAAGACGTGGCCATATGCAGATGAGTGGTTGCCCTGAAAACCGCCTGGCGGCCGGGTCTTGGCAGGTAAACCCTGAGTGCAGAGGCGGATACAACGCTTCTGAGAGCCCTGTGGCCCGGTCTCACCTCCTGCTGTTAACCTTCCGGCCCTTGTGGTGTCCAAGCCTCGGGGTGCCTAGGGTCTGGGTTGGGGTTCACCGCAGCCCAGCCACCGACCTGGCGTTCTCCACCTCTGCGCCCAGCATCTGGAAGACAGGAATGAATGTGTTGGAGTGGAGGAAACGCACGGAGATCGGCCCTCTACAAGTCTCAAGCTCGCTCACCAAGGGGGAGGGGGAGGAGCCCCTTTCCCACTTCTCTCTTGCTGGAAGTCGGTGACCTCACCCTGCGCTCCTCGGCCGGCAACTTCCCCACCCGCTTCCTGACTTCTGCTGGTCTCTGCAAATATTCAGTCAACGAACAATCACAACAAATGCCGCGGCCCTGGGATGGGGGAAAGAACAGAGTTGGACAGTGACCTCCCCCACACACAATGGAGACAGGACAGGCCCAGAAAAGGGGACAGGACAGGATCTTGCAAGGCATCCTAGAGAAGGAGACATGAAGGCTGGGGCTTTAACACATGTCTAGGGGTTTGCCAAGGAGTCTTAAAACCTGTCCTTAATTTTCTGCCGTCCCACAGAGGCTCAGTGGAAGTCTGCAAAGCTGTTGAAGAGAGGCTGAAGGGCCTGCTCGGGGAGGGGACAACACTGATAAAGAAACCTGACAAGAAATCAGGAGCAGTCCCCCTGCAAGTTGTCAGGAGCTAAGGTCCTGGGGCCTGAGGAAGCTAAGAGGAGGAAGTGGCAGTAAGGGCAGGGGGCAGAGGAGCTGGCCTCTCACAGGGCACAGGGGAAGGGAGCCTGTCCGAGGGTGACAGGGTCTGTTTGAAGGAACCCGAGCCAGCTGGACACTGACAGGAAGAGGAAGCAGGATCGTGGAGTCCGGCTATCAATGCCCATGTGGACTCTCCCCACACAGAGGCAAGGCACTGGCAGGGTCGCAGGTGAGGGGCTGGCCTAGCAGTAGTAGCCTGGTGGACGAGCTTATGGCGACGTCCCTTGAGGATGAACTCATGATACCAAGTGACCGATGTCAGACACAGTGTTTTGAGCACCCTCACCCCACAGCGGTCAGCTGGGGTGGCTCTCTTGACAGAGACAGGGTCTCTCCTGCAGCCCATCCTTCCCCCTTCCTCTGTCTTCTCAGTCCTGGGGTAACAAGGTAAGTCTGGTGGCCTGTCCATTTGTTCTTTGTGCTGAGCACAATAAAAAGTAAAGCTAGACAAGGAAGCGGGGCGCGGCTGATCCTCAGAAGACTGGGTGTGGTACAGGCGGGGCCAGACCACCAGAATCTCCAAGGTCACCACAGAGACCACAGCCTGCCTCCACACTCCCAGCAATCCCCAGGCCTTTAGGGGTAGTCCAATAACCATATATGCTCAGAGATACCCCCAAAATATTGAAAGGCTGTCAGAGACACCCTTGAAACCTTCAGAGATAATGGGACCCTCAGCCTCTCCAAATGCCAGTGACACATTCATGAACCTGCCAAGGTCCCTAGAGACAGCGACACAGACACAGACCTCCCAGCCCTGTGCTGCCTCCCTTGCTCCCCTCGGTATCGCTGCAGATCGGCCCATCTTCCCTGTGGTGGCCACAGGGACCACTGAGGGCTCTCTGCGATGGGCACAATCCGTGCTTGTCTACAGGAGGGAGAAGGGCTGCTGGCCAGGCACAGACCACAGTAGAAGACAGGTGACATGTTCAGTGCCCAGGGACACTGAGAGACAGCTGTCAGGTTGAGATTGACAAGCAAACTCTCTCATTCTGTGTTCTGCAAACCCAGTTTCTGGTTCTCAAGGAACTTAAAGGTGAAGGATTCTGAACTGTGACTTTCACCACTCAGTCAGTGCAGCTTAGATCGCCCCAGAATTGTCATCCTCCTGCCTCTGCTCCCCCTCCCCCATGTTGGGTTAGCAGGCCTGTGAGGCTGCCCATGGTGGTATTGTGTAGAGGGCAGGAGGGTCTTGTGCCCACAGAGAAGCACCAGAGGATCCAGAAACCTTCTACGGAAGGATGCACACCTGTTTCCACAGAAAGCTGGGAATGGGGCAGTTAAGGTCCTAGCAACCTGTGCTGTCTGCAGTGCCCGTCACTGCCACCTACACTGCTTCTCTATACACCCTCTCCTGAGCATTTTGTTTCTGAGTCAACAGACCCATCTTTACAGATGGCCGTATGGTTTCCGCGTGAATCTGTCCCCCAACGCTGCACTGTGCTTCAGTACAGCTACGTCACCAGTTCCTGAGTCGGGTGTCTGCAGAGACCCCACAGAATTATAGAAGCCACTTTAGAGAAAATAGGTACGACCAAAGCCAGAGTGGCTCATGTAGCAAAGCCACGGACTTCATTTCCACTTGGGGGTCCATGGGGATTTGGAGAAAGCCTGAACCACAAGAACATGGCCATACTCACCACTGAGGACGTAGGACAGAAGGACCTTCTGTGGGAACTGCTGCCCATGCTTGACAGGCCAGTCTGGGCCTCACAAGGAGACCAGGGTCCCTAGTGAGGGGTGGGGCGCACGGCTCTGGGTGCAGGTCCTCCATAGAATCCTAGAGATTATGCCCATTTCACAGATGCGGAAATGTGTGGAATAGAATATTTGTTTAGCTATGTAAACAGTGTTGCATTTGTTTGTTCTGAGTTTGGTAACTATGCAAAGATGAGCTGCTGTTTCACCTTGCCTGATCGAGGCACCTGGTTGGTCTAGTGAAAGGCTGAAGCAGTATTTAGGCAGAGACAGAGGGGCGGGTCTGGAGGGTAGAGAGAAGGGAGCCTGATGTACAGGCAGAGGAAGCAGGAAGCGGGAGAGGAAGTGTGTAGGTGGGGAAACAATCCTCGAGCAACACACAGGTTAATAAAAATTGGTTAATTTAAGTAAAAAACAACTAGCTAGGAACAAGCCTAAGTTAAGTCTGAGCACTCATAACTAATAATAAATCTCCACGTCATGGTTTGGGCTTGGTGGTCTGAGAAAGTCTGCTCCTGAAACTGAAGACCAGGCTGCTTGGCGGGCTTCTTAGTTCCTGTAACTAAAGAGAGGGTCTGACCATATCTGAGTGGGCACTGTGATGTTGCCTGGATTCCCAGGGGATAGTTTGTGTGAACCTAGAAGTTTGCAGCGTGTTCTGCACCCGCGAAGTGAGTCCTTTTGCTATTATTCTCAGGCTCCAGTGGTGAGCATGTGAAGCCCAGAAATCCCTGAAGAGCAATTCCAATCCCCAGATGCTGGTGTATCTGCCTGTCGCAAGCCATTGGAGGTTGGGAACAGAACTTGGTTCTTCTCGAGATCAGCAAATTCTTTTAATGGTTGAACTGTCTCTCCAGACACATATGGCTCCTGAGCCTTTGGGATGGTGGGTATTAGGGCCCTGTTTGTGCATACAGGAGGATTTGCCCGTCAGTTACACACAGGAGGGGACAATGACTCGTTATTTAGGGGCTGTCGTAGTTTACGATAATTAGACTCAAGAGCTGCAGTGTCCCAGCTCTCAGCAATCACTGGATTCTCACCAGTCAACAGAATGTGGACATAAAGCCCCTCCACAACTTTAGCTGTCAGGTGGGCATGGGATCCAGAGCCTGGTGCATGCTGGGCAAGCAATTAACCTAGGCCATGCTATGGATCTAGATTTTTTTGCTATGTGTCTGGAAAGAACCAACATTTATTGAGCACCTACTGGATGCAGCAAAATCTCCATCATTTGTTTGATCGTGATATTTTGTTTTATTTTATGTGCATTGGTATTTTGCTTGCATGTAAGTCTGTGAAACTGTTTGATCCCCTGGAACTGGAGTTGTAGACAGTGAAGAACCACCCTATCTCCATTTTGTGTTTAAAATCTATCTTATAGTAAAGACAGAAATGGCAGCTGATTCTCAAGGATTGCCCTACGCCCCACCTGTAGCCTTTACAAATGGTTCTGCATGTTCTTACATCTTAAATTAACCCATTTCTATTGGTCTATGAATCACCACAAGGCTGTGCCCTACCCGTAGGTGTCTTTCTCCTTTGGCAGCTACATGGCGTCTCCTTGACGCTGCCTACTCTCTCTATATTTCTGTTTGGATTTCCCACCTGGATTTCTCTGCTAAGCCATTGGCTGAAACAGCTTTATTCATTAACCAATAAAAGCATCACATATACAGAAAGACATCAGACATTGTCTCCCCTTTTCTATCTAAATAAAAGGGAAGGTTTTTAACTTTAACATAGTAGAATTACATATAACAAAACAGGTATCAAGCAAGAATTACAATATTTCTTTGTGAGTCTCAAGTTTAATATCTAAGTTATCTTTTATCATAAGTAAGGAAAACTATAACTATAGCTGTCTTCAACTCCTTCAAAGACCAGAAGGATATAATATTACCTAAACAGAAAGTGCATCATATGCAACTCCAAAGTTCTAGAAATGACTAAGACATCCTGCTGCCTGGACAGTCACCCAAAGTCCTTTTATAATGTCAGGGCATCCATCTTCAGTCTACAGGCCTATAATATCCAGCAGACCTTTCCATGAAACAGGAAATCTGAAGATCTGTTCTGTTTTGTACTGGCAGAGTTCATCAGTTTCTTTCTTCTGTGTCCTACAGAATGCCGGGAAGCTTCTTTCATGAAGCAGGAACCCTGAAAGACTGCCTCATCTTTTTGACAAGTTCAGCAGTCACTTTTCTGTGGGTCCTGAGGATCCAGTTCATACAGCAAGCAGTCCAGCCAAGAGCAACTTCTTGCCCAAATGGCTAACTTTGTCACATTAAAGCAAATACCATAAAAAGTTTCTTCAATGCCCATCCAAACCTTTCTGAAGTAATTGGTGCTGCCAGAAGCAGGCATGTCTCATTGTCAAAAAAAGACTAAGTTCTTATGACATTCTAAGTAGCATATTCTTTGAAGGGGTTGAAGATTACCTATCCATCGGAAATACATCTCTGTCCATCTAGAAAACCTAACTAACTTGACTACAGTTTCACTATTATACATGACTATCTATTAATCTATATTTCTTTTTTATTGATATTTATTGAGCTCTACATTTTTCTCTGCTCCCTTCCCTTTCTCTCTCCTCCCTGCTTCAGTCCTCCCTCAAAGTCCCCATGCTTCCAATTTACTCAGGAGATCTTGTCTTTTTCTACTTTCTACTTCCCATTTAGATCAGATCTATGTAAGTCTCTCTTAGTGTCCTCATTGTTGCCTAAGTTCTCTGGGATTGTGGTTTGTAAGATGGCTTTCTTTGCTTTATGTTTAAAAGTCACCTATGAGTGAATACATGTAATAATTGCCTTTCTGTGTCTGGGTTACCTCATTCAAAATAATGTTTTCTAGCTCCATCCATTTTCCTGCAAAATTCAAGCTGTCGTTATTTTTTTTTTTTTTTTTTGCTGTGTAGTACTCCATTGTGTAAATGCACCACATTTTCCTTATCTATTCTTTGGTCGAGGGGCATTTAGGTTGTTTCCAGGTTCTGACTATGACAAACAAAGCTACTATGAACATAGTTGAGCACATGTCCTTGTGGCATGATTGAGCGTCCTTTGGCTTTATACACAAAAGTGGTATTACTGGGTCTTGAGAAAGGTTGTTTCCTAATTTCCTGAGAAATCACCACACTGACATCCAAAG